TGCGGGAATGCATTTGCCGCCTGCTAAAGGGATGGCGTGTAATCTTTGGGTGTATCTCCTAAGAAAAAATAAAGGTAAATATGTAGATGTTGGTTTTTTGGATGTATGATATACGTAGGCATAAGATACATTTCCCGTAATCAAACATGGTTTGAAGGAAAATCCCCCATCTATGGATGGGAATGTTCCCAGCTAGAAATTTCCATTTAGAGTGGATTTCCCAGCTAGCCATGATTGATTACCGAAGGATATACACATCCGTTTTTTCAGGGGGAACTGACCTTCCTCTTGGTCACGCTTGAAGTTTGTCAAATAGTCATCAAACAATGTTCCAAGATAAACAACGTTCGCGTTTCCAAGACAGCCATACTAAACCATACCAGTAGTACCGCACAAGGCGGTGGCGGAAGTTTCACAAATAGGAAACCTTTAGGAGAGCTTGGTTGTTGTAAATCACGAATGGCAGAGCGAATCCACTGATGGACCGAAAGGTGGTTGGAGTTGTGTTTTTTGAAGTGGCTGCAATGGTTTCAGTGGTCACCTATTCCTCAACTGCTTGATGTACTGTGGTGTGGTGTAGCGCAGTTGTAGCTGTAGTTGTAGTGTAGAGTAGTGGATTTGTAGTTGTAGTGTAGTGTAATTAGTATGTGTGTTGTTGTGGTTGCAGTTGCAGTTGTAGTTGTGGCGTGGTGTAATCAGTGTAGTGATGTGTAGTGCAATGTCGTGTAGTGTAGTGTAATGTAGCGTTGTGTACTGTAGTGTAGTATAGTGTGGTGTAGCCTAGCGTACTGTAGTGTACAGTAGTGCGGTTGTAGTTGTAGCTGTAGTGTAGTGTATTGTACTGTCGTGTTGTGTACTGTAGACTGTAGTGTAGTATAGCGTGGTGTAGTCTAGTGTAGTGTAGTGTACAGTAGTGTAGTTGTAGTTGTAGCTGCCGTTGTTGTTGTAGCGTAGTGTTGTGTAATGTGGCGTAGTTGTAGTTGTAGCTGTAGTTGTAATGTACTGTAGTGTAGTGTAATTAGCGTGGTGTAGTGAAATGTAGCGTAGTGTGGTGTAGTCGTAGTTGTACCTGTAGTAGTAGTTGTAGTGGTAATGTAATGAGCGTAGTGTGCTGTAATTAGTGTAGTGTAGTGTAATTAGTGTCGTATAATGTAATCAGTGTAGTGTAACGTAGCGTAGTATTTTTGTCCATGTAGTTGCATTTGTAGTTGTAGAAAGTAGTGTAGCTGCAGTTGTAGTTGTAGTTGTCTATCTTTGTATCTGTCTATCTGCCGGCTTGAAAACGAAGCTATTCTGCGAGTCTTCCTCAATTTTTGAACTTGACAACATCAAAAACGAGACAATTCTGCGAGGCTTCCTCAATTTTCGAAGTTGACAACGTCAAAAACGAAACAATTTGCGAGACTTCCTTGAAAAATGGAAAGTTGAGTGCAGAGCTGACGGCGTCGTACCAATTCGTTTTGCGATTTTTCCAGTCCATCTGTCTACACTACTGCGCCTGCCACAAAAAAGTGATGCCAGGTCATACGAAGTGCTGCACCTGTCACGCAAAATCATCTTCCCAAAACTGAAGATCTGATGCTCCAAAATGCAACACCTCTCAGGAAATCAGCGCCCGGACTTCCTAACAGCTCTGATGAACATGTCTCTTGTACTGCACCTGTCACGGAAAATGCATCTTTGCAGGTCCTCTTCAAATGTCCCACGCCTGCCATCGTTTGTGGAAATGCTACAAAACCCTCACGTTTGAGAAGGTGCACAATCCCTTGCGCCTGCCACGCGAAACAACATCTGAACGTCCAAAAGTGGTCCGAACATTTAGTGGTTTTAACATGTTTACTGCGAAATTTGCTTCGCGCCACAACGGCGTGCACTCTTTCGACACATCATTTTCCAAAAGTGGTCCGAACGTGAGGTGTTTTTAACATTTTGACTTGGCAATGTGCTTCGCGCCACAACCGCATGCACTTTTTCGACATCTCAACTTCCAAAAGTGGTCCGGACTTGGTGTGTTTTGTACATTTTGACTTCGAAATGTGCGTCGCGCCTTAACTGCGTGCACTTTTTTCGACATCTCAACTTCCAAAAATGGTCCGAGAATGGTGTGCTTTGTACATTTTGAATTAAGTCAAATTCTGCTTCGCGCCACAACGTCGTGCAATTTTTCATCTCTCATCTGGACAGATGGCTGCGCACCCGCCGCTTTAGCGAGCCTACTTTTCGACCCTCCGGAGCCACAAATCATTGGAAAAACACAATGTTTCGCGACTTTCCTACCTTTT